CCTTGGTACAAAAAAAAAAACAAGAATGCTAGGCTAAATTTGTTCGAAGTGAAGAGGAGTATTTTGAAGGGGATTCATGACAATGTGTCTTTTACTGTAATAAATTTTAAAATTTAAATATTCACCATATTTTATGATCACTCCTTGTTGAACAACTGTTTACAGCCATTCCTTTCATGGTATGGTTTTTTTTAAATTTTCTTTCTTTTTTTGGTACTGGGGATCGAACTTGGGACCTTTCACTTTCGAGGCAGGCGCCAGAACCACTGAGCTAAATTCCCAGCCCTACAGCCATTCTTTTCAAATAAAAACATTACAGTGTATCTTTATCCCCCTTACTCACTTTATCCACCTTACCATGAAAGATAAATATTTTGAGTCAATTTAGGACATTGAGGCAGCCAAGAAACACAACTAAAGGCTTTTATGAAAGACTTCTGGAACTTCTTCAAGAGGTGGCAAGAATGGACTGTTTGAAGGGAAGGGGAGGATTTTGAGGGAGATTAATGATAGTGTATCTTTTATTATCAAGCATTTTTAAGAATTTAAATATTCACTATAGCTTTCTATAACACTGCATATTTTGATCAGTGATCCTTATACTTTTTATCTGTCAGGTTCTTGTTATTGTGGATAAGGATTTAGCTATCAGATACAAATATCCTCTCCACTGCCTTCTTCCCTCTCCAGTATATCATCATTTTTAGCTAATTCATATTTGGAGTTTCTATTAGTTATGACTAAGCAACTCTTCATAGCTGAGCATTTTAGCGCACAGGTCTAGTATCCTTATCTGAAATGCCTGGGGCCAGAAGTGTTTTGGATTTTGGATCTTTAAAATATCTGCTTCTGCATAATAAAATACCTGGGGTTGGAACCCAAGCCTAAACATGATATTCATGTGTGTTTCATATATGCCTTATACACATAGCCTTGAGGAAATTTTATACAGTATTTTTATGTTCCCGTGTTGACCAGGTGTGGAATTTTCCATTTGTGGTGTCAAACTGGCACTAAAAGTTTCAGATTCTGGAGCATTTGGATATTTAGATGAGGGATGCTCAATTTGTACTATGACTTCATTTTCTTCTTTTCCTCCTTCTTTTAACCATTCTTAAAGCTGACAACTGCCTTGGTTTTTTGTTTGTATCCAATGATAATTCTTCCTTCACCTGCTGTTTTTTTTTGGAGGCACGTTTTAAAGAAATCCATCCTTGTTTTTGTTTTTGTTTTAGAGAAGGCATTTTATTATAGCTCCTTGCAAAGTTAAAAACAGGAGGATTCTTCTTTTCTTTTTTTTTTCAGGATTTTTCTTCATAAGGGGTCAGGAAACTACAAAGAGCCATTCCATTAAAAATCAAGTCATTAGGCGCAAGGACCCGAGTTCGGTCCGTGGTACCAAAAAAAAAAAAATCAAGTCATTTAAAACATTTAAAAATGTAAGATAAGCAGGATCCTTAGGCACATGCCAGCTTCTAACACGTCCAGTGGCTGTGGCCACAACTTCTGGGCACTATTTCTGCTTCTGAAAATTCAGGTGGATTAGCTCAGTGACACCACACCTGCCTTGCAAGCACAACGTCCTGAGTTTGATCCCCGGAACCAAAAAAAAAAGAGGAGCTGAGCAGCTCTTTTTTTTCTTTTTTTTTGGTACCAGGGATCGAACTCGGGACCTTGTGCTTGCAAGGCAGGCTGTGGAACCACTGAGGTAAATCCCCAGCCCCAGCCGAGCAGCTTTTAAACCAGGGATTTTGCTCTCAAGTTTGCAGTTGATTGTTTCTGCAATGTGTAAATTTGCTCTTCCTGAACTTTCTGAGGAGCCAGTCTGTTCATGTGCATTATGTCCTTTGTTTTTTATAGCAACTGGATGGCTCGGTCCTGATTTCACACTTATTGGTATGGTACAGAAACTCATAAAATCCTGGATGCACTGAGGTGACAGCACAGCTATGTCCTAGATATACTTCTTCAGGGGCCATCGGGCTGTTGTTGTCAAATGCATTTGGCTTAACTGTGGCGAGGAACCAAGTAGGGCTACATCGTACATAGACTGGCTGCTCTCCAGAGCAAGTCCAAATCAGAGAAAAAAGGAGCAGTTTTCCAAACACCAGGAAAACCTCCATCTGGTCAGAGCCCCGGGCAGCACCCAGCTAGGGAATAGGCCCTCTTGTTTTTGGAGAAACTGCTTTCAGGGCTGCTGCAGAGCTGTCACCTTTAGGCTCTTCTGCATCCCAGGAATTCTTCCTTTCCTCTGATTTGGGTTCTCCATTTTCTGAATCTCTTTTTTGATCTTTTTGTCCTTCTCTTCTTTTTTTTTCTCTGGGTATCAGGGATCAAACCTAAGACTGAGTTTGCGAGGCAGGCATGGTGCCACTGAGCAAAATCCCCGGCCCCCCTCTTTCTTTTTTTTTTTTTGGTACCAGGGATCAAACTTGGGACCTTGCACTTGTGAGGCAGGCGCTGGAACCACTGAGCAAAATCCCCCCCCTTTTTTTTGGTACTGGGGATCACACTTGGGACCTTGTGCTTGTGAGGCAGGCGCTGGAACCACTGAGCTAAATCCCTGGCCCTCCTTTTTTTTTTGATGGCAGCATGTTTCCCCAGTAGCTTTCCCAAGTTAAAAAGGCAGTAATTCAACAATAGAAAGAGCAATGCTCTTGAACTTTTTTGGTGACCCTGTGAAAAGTGGTTGCCATTATGGCATTTGGACTGCCACTGTGGGCTCTCCCTTCACCATTTCGGCTTTGCCTTCCTCCTGTGTTAGAGCTCCCATTTCCACATGCATAGCTTTTCTTTTTTGCTTTATGTTTTCATTTTCAAAAAACATGTCCCCCAGGAACTTTGTTTCTTTTTTTTTTGGTACTGGGGATCGAACTTGGGACCTTTAGCTTGCGAGGCAGGCGCTGGAACCACTGAGCAAAATCCCCCGCTGTTTGTTTCTTTGAGACAGTATCTCATTCTGTTGTTCAGGCTGATCTTGAACTTGTAACCCTCCTGCTTCATCCTGCCCATGTGCTGTCTCCTCAGCAGCTTCTTGAGAAAGGATGTATGGGAAACAATTTTTTTGAGATTTTGTATGGGTGCAAATGTGGTTATTCTACTCTGACACATAATAATTTAGCTGGGTACAGAATTTTAGGCTGTTAAAGAACAGCGCCCCACCCCCTACCCCTCCCAGTATGTACAAGTTCACAGGAGATAGGAGTTCATTTTTCTCACACTGCCCAGCTGGAGGAAGCAGCAGTCAGGGAGCCAGTTGCCCAGGTGCTGTTTCTTTCCAGCTTATTGTTCCACAGTTCTCTAGGTCAAACCTAAACCAACCACATCTGCACACCTCTGAATTCAAGCCAGAAGAAGGGGGAAAGAATTAAAAGCAAGTGATTTCCTCTAAAACTGTGACTGAGAAAGTTACACACTCTGCTCCTGTGAAGTCATTTTCTTTTTCTTTCTTTTTTAATATTTATAGATGAAGTAAACTCATTTTCTAGCCCATTGTTCTCTTCAGGGTGATGCCTTTGATGGGGCCAGTCCTTAGTCTTACATGTGGGATCTAGATCCAACCTCCCAACAGAAGCTCTAGGTAGTTTCCTGTGTGTGAGGTTCATTGAAACATTAAAACCTGATCCCAGGCCTAGAAGAGCCACCAGAGCCAGCCCTAAGGGCTTCCCAACACTGAGCAGCAGCTTGTCTGCCCCACACCACTGCCTACAAAGCCAGATTGAGGTGGCCCTGCCATCTTGCTGCTGCATCTCTTCTGGTCTCCACACACAAGGCACCATCCCCTCTTGCCTCACTGCTTGCCCTGGACTCACCAAGATCCTTCCCACCTCCCGGTCTTCCAACGTCATTCTTCTGCTAAGATGGCTCTTCCTACACGTTCCATTACCCACATTGGGCTTGTTCCCTCCTCAGACGTTCAGTGACCATCCTGACCAAAATAGCCCCTCATCACTGTCCCTCAAAGCAGCCATCATTCCTGACATGTTTTGTATTTTTGTTTATGGTCTGGTTCCAGGGGGAAGCAGGAGCAAGGGAAGGGGGTAAATAGCAAAGGAGGCAGAGAGAATAAAAGTGTTACTGAGGGAAGCACCCCCAGGACTTTCTGAAGAACTATGAGTGGTGGTTCAGAGGAAGAAAGGCAAAAGCCTTGTAGCTTGGCCACCCACTCCTTTGGGATTTACCTCCCCTTCCCTACTGGTAGCATGTGTCAGGGGCAAGGGACAGGCCTTAGGCAGGCCCTGGACTCTCCCTGCGCGCAACTGCAGAAGCCCTCACGTAAGTGGTTACTGCTGCAGGAACAGCAGAGACAGCTACCCAGGTGCCCTGTGTGAAGTGGCACTTAGAAGTGTAGCCAGTACAGTGCACATTCAATGAAAATTTGCTGCATGAACAGTGCTGCGGTCTAGAGAGGGAAAAGGCAAATAATAAGTAGATTGTGGGTAAGTAGGGGTCACTAGGAGGCCTGCGACAGGAGCCTACATGGTCCATGGGGAAGGAACAGTGGACTTTCTAGAGATGGTCCTCGGGCTGAAACCTGGAGGACCAGCAAGAGTTAGCTACAAGGCTATTTTGTGAGGAACTGTGCATGTAAATAAAAATGACAGGGACAAGAACCGTAAACTGGTGGTTAATGGACCAAGATCTCTGAAGAGGATGGTACTATGTGCTCGACAGGCTTATCAGTAACCCTATAGCATGTGTAGCATTCAATCCCTGTCTTATGGGGGCGTGGAGCAGGTGGGGGGACTTGAACCTCAGAGAAGTCGGGTGACTTCCAGTGACAGGGCAGACTTGTCTTTCCACATTTTACACTGAGGATGAGAGCAGGGCCGATGGACACAGGAAGACAGGGCAGAGCTGGGACCAGAACCCCAGGTCTCCTGGCTCCTGGGCTTGTGTTCTTGCTCCAGAGCTCACCAGCGAGAAAAGGGGCTCAGGAGAAGTGGGGTGGGGTGAATTAACCACAGCCAGGCTGAGCTGGGCAGGCTCTGCCTCCTCAGCTACTACCAGAAGCTGAAGGAAGGCACCTGCGAGGTCCGAGAGATGGCATCGGCCATAGGCCAGCTGTGGTTACAGAAGCAGGTTCTCTACAACCACCAGCAGGCAGGCTCCTTGGAAGTCCCCGAACGCAGGGGCCTCAGCATCCTGAGCCGGCTGAAGCAGAATGTTGAGGATCTGGGTGACTGCGCTAGAAGAGGGCTCAGCTCCCCCGCCTACCTGGCCTCCTTTCCCTGGGGCCACACACAGCCAGACCCCTGGAGCTGAGAGGCCTGGTTTCCCACTGTGGGTTATCCATGTGCATCAGCAAATGGGCTGATCATCACTCCCTGATATCCAGCCCCATGCCAGGAGGTCCTGACTGGCTCTTCCCATCCTGCTGTAACCCTGAGGGCAGGCTGCTCCCAACAGCCTGGCCTGTGGAGATGAGCAGTCCCAGCTTAACACTGATACAGAACCCGCTGGAGTCAGTTAACAGCATGGGACCCTTTGAGATGTCCCATTTAATCTATCATGTTCTTACTCCATTTTACAGAGGAAAAACCTGAACTAAGGAAGTTAAAGTACCTTGCTGTGATTCCCCCAACCTGTGTTGGACAGAGAAGGTTACACTCAGGCCCAGCCCCCCAATCCTGTCCTTTCCGTGGGGCAAGACTGCCTCCCTTGCCCTGGTGCCCTTTGTTAGGCTCCTACAGTGTGCCATGTGATGAGCAAAGGGCCTCGAAGTCTTTGTAGTGTGCCTGCCAGGCTGTGCCAGGACCCATCACAAAGGCCTGTCAAGCTGTGTTCAGACAACTGCTGAATTCGTCCAGTCTTTAATCCTCCTCTCCAGCTCAGAGGCTTGAGAAGTTACGGGGCTTGCTGAACCCCACCCAGCTCATTATGTGGAGAGCCAGGATTTTCCCTGGGTCCACAGGCCTCCTGAGGCCACCACACTCTGAAGCATACCCCACCCCTAGCTTCCGACCTGCAGAGCCCCTATGCCCAGATGCCCTGCATCCCACTCTGCACTTGGCTGAACAAGAAGACAGTCCATCGGAAGCTGGGCAGCCACAACATGCTGGACCAGTGCGTGCCAGCCAGCCTGAGCCCCAGCACCCGTAGCCTCTTTTTCCAGTCAGGACCTCAAGGGTAGGTACCTATAGGGCCAGGGCCTCTCTCAGACCCATCTACTTCCTTCCTCAAAAGGCCCCTGGCTAACACCTGGGGAATCCAGCCTTCTAAGACACAATGCCTGAGAGACTGCTTGGTCCTGGGAGGAGATAGGAGAGGACAGAAAGGGAAAACACTAACCTTTGTCGAGGGCTGAGAAGCAGGGCAGATTATTTCACTGACACCAAAGTACGTAGAACTTTCTGTGTGCAGGACTCAGTAGTACCTACTGTTTTGCTGGGGCTGGCACTATCCCCTTTCCCACCCAGGGAACTGAACTGCTCTGCCCTAGCCTGGTTCCACATTACAAGTAGCAGGCTTAGCCACTAGGCAGAGGGAGTGAACCCTGCACCTGTCCCCTTCCGGGCCCCCTGAAGAAAAAGGCCTCAGCCCAACTTCTGCCTCCATCACTTCTGGGACGCCACCTCTTCCCTGCACATGCAGGGAAGGCCCTCGCCTGATAGGACTGTGGGGAGAGGGTCAAACATCTGCCATCCTTCTGCCCTACCCTCTCCAGGGAACACAGATCCAAACGTGGAAAGTGGCTCAGCTCCATGCCCACTCGAACCCACTGATCCTCTGAAATCCGGCAGGGCAGTTCAAGGCCTGCAGACAGATGGGTCACTGAGTAGTGGCTGCTGTGGGAGTTTGTTTTTTTTGGCCTAATAAGCCAATAAACATCAAGAACCTCAGCCTGTGCCTGGTGCTCAGGTTTCCACACCCTATGTGGCTCTCAGAATGCAGGGCCCCACACCCCTGGGCTTGAGAATCCCCGAGGCAAGACCTCCTGTAAGGCCCTGCCCAGGGTTGGTGTTCCTGCTGCAGGTTCCCTTGCGCAGTCTTTACCTGTGCATTCTCAAAGCACAGAGTGGCTCCTCCTCTCCAAATGAGTGTCTACCCCTTTCGACTGGGTGCTCCACAAAGGCGGTGTGAACAGAAGCCAAGTACCCAGGAAAGACCTGGCCTCTGGGAGCCTCAGCCTCTACTGTCCCCACAGATCCCAAGGACAGGCGCCTTCTTCTCTGGAGCCCCAACCCATACACCACCCAGCCCGGCTCTCCCCAGGGTTCAACAAGCAGCCACAGCAAGAGGTAAAAGGCCAGGGGTTGAAATAAGGACAAGGCTCTGACAAGTTTAAAACATGTATTTAAAATACAATTTATAAAATGCTTAATCTGCCGACTCAGGAGCCCATATGTGGGGGTGGGGTGGGGGTGGGCAGCTGTCCACTGCACCAGCAAAGCAGGGTGCAGGGGTGTGGCCCCCTCCCATTCCCTTCTGTTCAGACACCCAAGGGGCCTATGTGCACCCCTGGGACCAGAAAACAGGACCCCAGAGGTTTGAGTCTCTGCTTGCCAGGGAGGCTGGGTGTAGCCCTGCCGGCCCATCCCTGAGCAAGGCACCCCCAAATGGGGCAGAGCAGGGTATGGCTGGGCAGGGCAGGGCTAGGCGGGGCAAGTGGGCTCTGGAAGGGGCTGATGGTAGCAGATAGGGTGTTGCCTCCTGCCTGCAGGTGGGGAGCACCCTGATTGAGTGGGCTAAGAAGGGCTGGTCACCAGGCCTGGACCCCTAGCTCCTTTGGTTATAGGCTGACATCAGAGTAGTGGCTCATGGGAAGCAGTTAGCCAGAAGGACTGAGGCCTGGATCAAGGGGTCTGGGAGGAGCTGAAGAAAGGGACAGTACCGTGAAGGCAGATAAAGGGGCAGCGGCCTCATGGTCCTGCCCCTCATCCTCCTGGGGATTTCCAAGCCAAAGCCTGCAACTTACTTAAAAAAAAAAAAAAAAAAAAAGAAGAAAAAGCACTTAAGGAAAGTTACAGACAACTACACAAAAACCCCACACAAAATCCAAAACTTTTCCCATCTTCCTCCCACCTTCCCACAAATAAGTTTTTTGTTTCTTTCATTTTGCCTGCCACCTCTCATCTGGGAAGCCAAAGGCATAACTGCTGGTGGGTGGTGACAGGCACAGTGTGGGCAGAGCCCCTTCTTTGGCCAGAGAGAGGTGGGAGCAACAGTCCTGGCCACATGCTTGGTCCAGACACCAGCTGTCCTGGCTCCCACCAGACGGAGCGGGGCCATCAGGCTGCCCGCCCTTCCCATCTGCACTGTCTCTGCTGCACCCCTCCAACTGAAAGGAGAGTCTCGCCTTGGGCAGAAGCCACTCTTGACTTGAGGGAAGGGCAGGAGACTTTTAGAGTATGGATACTCCATTGGGGCAGGGGACTCTAAGATAGCAGCCAACTTTCTTCCTACCCACTGCTTATAGTAACTGCCCTTCTTACTAACTGAAGCTCCAGTCTGGCTCCATTCACGGACAATTCCTGGGTTCACACAGTTCTAAGGCTGGGCTGTGGACCAGTTGCAGGCTCAACTGGCAGCTGGTCCTTCCTCCTAGGGAAATTTCCTGGAGCACGGCTGAGCCTAGCCAGGAGAACCTAATGCACAGTAGGTCTGCAAAATCCAGCTTGCCACCTGGGCCACCACAAGCTGCCCTATTCCAAAACCCCAACAATCACTCCAAAACCCATCCAGTGGTCAGGAGCAGGGAGACCACCTGGGTGAGTGTAAAGCGCAGTGCATCACAAGAGACAGGTGAGCTGGGCAGAGGCAGGCTGCACACACAGAGCTGCTCTAGGCAGCTGCTCTCTTAGCCTCTTCTCCTCAAGGATCAAAGCAAATCTCCAGGCTCCAGGGCCAGAGGAGAAAACATCTTCATAACAGGCCCTTTCTCTGGAAAAAGGGGGTAAAAGGCAGCCCTGGCCTCTGGGAAAATGGTCGCCCATCCATCTTTGCAACACAAAGCTTTGCTCCCCCCGCCGCCACCGCCCCTTTACTCAGACTGTTCTGCTCCTGAGATACTGATTTCACAGAGGAAATGTACCAGGTCTAGTCACCGAGCTGCAGCCATCAATGGAGATTCAGCCTTGGTGGAGTGGGAAGGTCATCTGACCATGCCAGGTGTAGGCTCGGAGTCCTAGAGCCACTCTCTCCTGTTGGTCTTGTGCTGACAGCAAATACTAACCAAGCCTCGCACTCCTTGCTTCTAACCCCAGGAGAGCAGTCTCACTCCCTGATGCTCTCTGCTGACTTCTGGAAGTAGCAAGCCTGGCTGGTAGGAAGCCACCCTGAGGGGTAGGGGAAGGGGTAAGTCTGTCACTTTCCCTATCTCCCAAAATACTAGAGGTGGGGTTGGAACCCTCCCCAGGCTCTCTGAGCCTAAAGAGCTAGCCCTGACTCCAGGCAGGGCAAGATGCCTGGGGCTTAGCTGGGGAGGGAGGTATAGGCATGGGGTGCTCACCTGTCCTGAGGCCGCAGAGCCCTGCCCCTTTTCTGGGCAGCAGTAGGAATATAGAAGCTAAGCTCACCAAAATCCTATTGGTTAATGTTTCTAGTGAATAAACCAGAAACATTTATTTAAGTAGACTACCAAACTACCCTTTCTCAATTAAAAATTCATTAAACTGCTAAAACCCTCCCATGCACTTTTTGTTAAATCAGACATTTGTATAAACAAACAAAAATAGGAAGAAAAAAAGGAAAGGATATTTTCAAATGGAACTTACTTTTTAAGTGATGAAGACACGCACTTGGGGGTGCGTAGGTGCAGTTCTCATTTGTGTTTTGAAATCCCAAATTAACGAGCATGATAAACTTATTGCTGGCACTGGCTTTACCCCAAGTGGCCAAGTGGCACTGTCTGACTCTATTCTGAGTCCTTGGTGGGTCCCTCCAACCCTCCCCTAACCCCCACCCTTTCCATTTCCATTGACTTGGGACAACCCTTATCGATGTGCCAATCACAGTGGGAAGGGGGGGAAGAGGTCACAGTGCATGGGGTTCAAGGTCACAGTGGGCGGAGCAAGGGGGATCACAGTGCAAGTAAGTCAGGTCGTTCCCTCTGCTCAAGTCCAGCTGTCTGCCATGGCAGTGCAACCCGTGGCCAATGACCCAGGAGGTGGTGACGGCGGTGGCAGCGGCGGCATCCTTTTTGCTTCCATTTATCTGCGCTGTTTGAAGCCTTGTGACCCATCAGGACCCAAAGGCTGTCTGATCACATTATTGGGCTGTCTGCTGTCTTCTGGCTGCGAGATCCTGGTTGGCCTGCAAGGAAGAAAATCAGAAGGCCTGAACCAAGATACAAAAGATGTCCCCAGATCTTAAAATCAACCATGCTTACAGCTGAGACAGACACCATGGTTGCTATCACCCAACTCTGCTGCTTTTGGTTGCTGGCTCCACAACCCTGCTGCTTTGGCAAGAAGTCAGGAGGTACCTGTGGGCAGGAAGGCAGCTGTGGCATTCTTCCCTCTCTGGCTCACCATCACTCACTTGTAGGTACAACACAGCCTATCCAGAGCAGCAGCCATGGGCAGCACATCCTCCACAGAGCCATGTGCCACAGACTCTCCAGTGTCAGGCAAGGTACAGACGCCTAGCTACGAGCACCCTGGTACTCTGTTCCCTGGCTTATCTTCAAACTGTGCAGTTAGTGGCTGCCTCATATTTATTAGTAGAGAAGACTGATGAAGATGGACTTTTTTCCACTAGGAAAGATGCAGACAGCAGAGAAAACCGAAATGATGGACAGCCCTTCAAAACAAGGAACATACGAGTGTGATGGGGCTCACCTATAATCCCAGCACTGGGAGTCTGAGGCAGAAGGATTGCAGGTTCAGAGCCCAGTGTGGGCAATTTAGTGACTTCACGAGACCATCCCCTCCACCTCACTCCAAAAGGGCTGGGGATGTAGCTCAGTGTGAAGACCCTGAGTTCAATTCCCAGTACCAAGGAAGAGAGGAAGAAAAAAAAAAGAACACAGAGAGAAACTATGCAGATTTAGGTTTGTTTTTTCTTACCCCCATGCTGGGTATTGATTCTACCAATGAACTACATCCCCACTCAGCAATTAGCTCTTCAAGCCCCAGAATATCAGACCAAAGAGGCCCCTCCAAGTTAGAAAGAGACCATGGAAACAAATACTGCTTCCCCCAAGAAGTGACAAATTTACATAATGCAAACTCTAGTACTGCAGGAGAAAAAAAGCATAAAAGAGTTTAGAAAATATACCAAAATATCACAGTGAGTTACTGGAGACCTAGAAGATAACACTGAAGCACTAATAGCACTTTCCACTGGGTCACTTTCTCAGTGACTCAACTGTGTAACTTGTAAGGCAGGCACTACCATTATCCCATTTCTCAGATTAGGCAAGAGGTTAAGTACTGTGAGTTAAGAAGAGGCAAGTGGGAGGGGGGGGAGATGGGGATTTATCTCAGTGGTACCACGCCTGCCTCACAAACGCAAAGTCCTGAGTTTGATCCCCAGTACAAAATAAAGAAGAGGCAAGTGGGAGATTTTAGTTCCAAGTCCATGCCTCTACATGGCTTGTGATGCTGCCCCCGTGCCTGCAGACTGCAGACACAGCCCACTACAAACTACCACCACCACGGTGCCGACTGCATGAGTCTGCAGGCTGGTGCTGGCAGCACAGCAGCGGTGTTTCACTGGTCTACAGTGAGCCAGACCCTAATCCAATTCACTCTGGGTGGACCACAAGAGTGGTGGTAGACGGTCAGCCCTGCTAGCTGCACTCACCTGTCAAGGATAGGTTTCTCCTGCTCCTCCTCGGGGCTGGCGCTGCCCAGGATCCGTTTCCGGGCCTCAGCGTACTCTGCCTCCCGCTGTGCTAGGGACTTGACTGGAAGGGCTGGCCTGCTGGTGGAGTTGGGGCTGCTGACCACACCATTGCTGGTGGGCCTCTTGAGGATGCGGATCTGTGGAGGGGGCCCGGTGGGAAGGCTATCGTCTTGAATCACAATGGGCACTTTTGGAGGAGATTTGGATTTCCTGCTGACAAAGAGCAAGCACAGCTTCACAAGTCACACCCTTGACTAGGAGGCCTGTCCATGTCCCACACCCACCCTTATCACTGCCCTCTCCTCCCCACTAACTCCAGCAGTCTCTGGCCTCTGACCAGACACTCAAACTCCCACTCCTCAGGAAGGGTCTCTCAAGAAAGCAACTTCACCACCAGCTCTGGCAGTGCACAGGAACTGCTCCTCAGACCTCACGCCTGACTGGGGACAGAGCACAACCCCATCTTAGGGACGTCTACCCATGGTCATCACAGGCATGGCAAACACTGTTTGGCCCCTGAAGCAAAACATTTCATGTCCAGAATCCAATGACTTCAGTTAAAATCCCCACTTCCCTATGCAGACCAAAGTGTTGAGAGGCTGGAAGAGGGAGCCCCCCAGCCAGGTCTTCCACCATGTGTGCTCAAACAAATCAAACACCACACAGGACCTGCTACAGCAGCCCTGCCAGGCAGCGAGACAGGGTTCCTCAAACAATCCCAGCCTTCCCATGAAGATTGACTTGTGCCTCCCATAAACAAGCTGGATCAGACAATGAGTTGCCTCTTCCAAAGAACTGGGCAGAGAAACTTCCCTCACCAGGACACTGGTCTGTTGGACAACGGCGGGGCTGAAGTGAAAGACAACCCTAGAAACAGCACATGGCAATGCTCAAGATTGTCCAAGGATGTGCACATCAAGGCGATGTGTCCACAAAGAAAGGAGGAACCAACAAAACCCAAAGGGAGAAAAAGAAACAAAAGCCACGGGAGAATGGGACCAAAGCATGAAGGACCACCCACACCAGCCACCAGGACCCTCCCAGAGCAACCCTAGCTTCAGAACCACATGGGCCCATAGGAGCCTTTTCAAGTGCCTGGGTTGTCAGGTGTGACAGGCACCTGAGGAATCCAGCTGCTCCAGGGTGAACTGGTAGAAGTCCTGGGCAGGACAGGAACGTGGAAAGGCCCTATGAGCAGCAGGGCATGTAGCTGTTGAGGTGTGCAGACAAACAGGAAGCCAGCAATCTGATCACAGTGGCAGGAAGCCAGGAAAGCCAGCAGGCAGGCAGGTAGCACCCCAGAGTCCTCTGGGGAATGACTGTGCAGCCTGTTAAGCAAACCCAAAGTCCTACCTTCCTTCCTACCACTTGTCTCAGGGGAAAACCAACAGTTTACCTAAGCCCAAAGTCAACATTCACCTGCTCTGGAAATCCACTTCCTCTGCTGTCTGGCTGGGGAACACAGCTATCCTTAAAAGGTCTTTCAAAAAATTTTCAGAATCTTTTCTTCCAGGGTATCCTCAACTGCCAAGTTACTTAGGCCCCAGAGAAATCATCCATCCAAACTCCTCAACATACAAAGAGGGAAACAACTTGCCCCATACTTCAGGCAATTGGGGCACAGCCAGCTCTAAAACCCAAACCTCACAATTGGTCACTTCCCCACTTTCCATCAGATGACCACACTGGGGGCCCCCTAAGGGTGAGGCAGGTGCAGCACTCCAGCCTCATGCCCAAGGCCTCAGGCCACCACATCCTGTTCTCCAACTGGGAGGGAGGGTTCACTGCCCAGGAGCCTGACTGCTAAACCTAAGGCCAGCTGGAGACATCACTGACTGCCCAGCTCTCCACAGCAGAGAGCAAGAGCCCTCAGACCAGACAGCAGCCTTACCTCTCTTTTTGTGTGATCTTCAGTTTTTTTTCCAACCGTCTGTCTATTTCCTAGAGGAAAAAAATGTATATAAAAAGGGGAAGAAGATCTCTCTCAAATAAAAACTTAGGTCTTTATTTTCAGAGCTAAGGGCAATGTCCTCTCTCTAGCCAAAGGACAAGACTATGTCCTTCAAGGTGATGGACGTGGACTAGACTCTGGAGTTTGGGGACCTCACTCCCTTTGCAGGCCTCTCCTTCTAGCCCTATGGCCACAGCAACAGTTCTGGACCTTGTTCAGTTGGGTTCTTTGCACAGCCTCCAACCAGCCTTCTGCCTGTCCTTCACAGAGCCACACAAATCAACTTTCTGACATTAAGTATGATTGTCATTCCTGGCTTGAAGCTCTTCACCTGTTTGCAGGACCGTATCTAAACTCCAATGCATTCTCATCCATACTTTCTGCCTGCTATTCCCATTTTTGCGCTACAGCAGTACTGAGCCATTATGAACCCTTGAACCCTGAGTGCCTCTCTACCTGCCTGCAATGTCGTCTCTCCGTGCAAACTCCCTCTTATCTGCAAAACCCAGACATCTCCTTTCCTTTGAAATCTTCTCTGACTCCACCAGTTCAGTTAATCATCTGCTCCTTAGGAGTAAACTCTCTCTTTTACCTCCTTTCATGGTCACGCATATCAACTATTTTATAATCTGTTTTCTACTGGCACAGACTTGAACACTGTGACTAGCACCTGGTGAAAGGCCTAGAGAAAATCAAGCCTGTGGAACTGAAGTTCCCAAGACTCCTAGTAGACTTGAGATCTGAAGAAGAGACAGTACAATGGAATTTCTCTTGGAACCAGAGCCTGGCTGGTCCATTTAAAAACAAAAAAACAAAAGCAAAAAAAAAAGACAAGAAAAATGCTGAGAAAGCACAGAAGGTGGATTACTGTCCAAAACATTCTGCCCAATAACATGGCAGTCCAGAGCCCACACAGGGCCTAATCTCCTCAGTCCTGGGTAAGACAGTGGCACCCATGGCCATCTGAGCCCCCAGCCCCCAGCACCAGGAACTCACCAATCCCTCTCTGGGCAGGAGGGGGTGAGGACAGAATGACACATGACACCCATGCACAGAGCAAAGGCCAAACCTTCAGGCTCCATGGCCATCACATTGCCTTTTCTTAGAAAAGATCCCGCTCATTGAGGGTAAAACCAACTAGCTACTGTGGAGAAATGGTATGCCAAAAGTATGTGTTTCACTGGAGAGCAGATCTGTGACAATAATTCTCAGCCAGAAGTGATCCATCCCCCATACCCCCCAGACAGGGACATTGGGCAAAGTCTAGACTTTCTTTTTTTTTTTTTGGTTGTCATTACCAGGGGAAGATGCTATGGGGTGGAGGCCAGGGAAGCTGCTAAACATCCTGTAACACACAGCACCATACCCACAACAAAGAATTAACTAGTGCCAGAAGTCAACAAGGGCCATGGTTGGAACCCCTGATTTATAGAACAACAAGGGATTTTCACTAATCTTTTTTTTTTTTTTGGTACCAGGGATCGAACTCAGGTCCTTGTGCTTGCAAGGCAGGTGGTGGAACCACTGAGCTAAATCCCCGGCCCAACAAGGGATTTTCAAAGGAGTCCATCACTGCAAAACTGTCAAGACCACAACAATGGTAAGACCTTGGGATGTGCTGGGAACAGCCGCATGGCCCAGTGTGTGGCCTGTCTTCCCTAATGCTATAAAGTCCAGAAAATGACGGCATTCTATAGCTGACAGGTACAGTTCAAGCTACTTAGCTCTATTCAAATCTTTTAAATTTTTACTCACTCACTGGAACTATTAACTATGGAAAGAATTACTTTTTTCTAGTAAGTCAAATGGTTTATTATTATGAAATTATCTTCTTGGCCTTAGAATATTTTTTCCCCCTTTTGGGAGTGCTGGGGATTGAACCTAGGGTCTCATTATTGTTTAATATTTATAAAAGTAGATCAGGTTTCTTTAGTGCTATTTCCTGAAATGTTTGTTCTCAAGCCTTCTGTGTCCTCTTATAAACAATGTGAATTAGACTAATCCTATGAAGCTAAATTTAAATCCAGTCCAACAATGATACCCATTCTGACTGGTGCTGAGTTATGTTTAAAATACAGTCAGGCGGGCCAGGGATTTAGCTCAGTGGTTCTGTCGCCTGCCTTGCAAGTGCAAGGTTCAGAGTTCGATCCCTAGTACAAAAAAAAAACACAAAACATATATATATATATATATATATATATATATATATAAATTATAGTCAGGCAAGTAACAGCATATTGTATAAGGGCACTACAAAGTCTCTGGTGTGGCTGGAAAGGCACTAAAACAAAAACCTCTTGCTCTAGCTTGGAACACGGCTGATGCCCAATGACTGAATGAAAAAGTATACCAAGAGTTAAGGTGATGATCTGGATGTCTGTGAACTGACAAACACAGACACACATCTATGCCCACCGCATGGTTTGTGTTAGAACTGTATTCATTCTATTAATATCAGCGTTATTTCTTGAGTAAACACTATGTCTCGCATTAGGCTAAAAGCCTATTGCCTTTTAAGGGCTTTTCAAGCCTTTTAAATGAATGCCTTCTTGTTTTATTAAAGTTCTATACTGTACCATTTGCTTTGGTCTGAAAATGAGACCCTCTAAAGTTTCTCTACCATAAACACAAAGTTCAGCATCTGTGGGACTTAGATGACTTCAAACACAGTTGAAGCCAAGTGCCAAACTCCACACTTGGGGCACACATGGGGACCCACCAGGGTAGTGAAGGGGTACAGCCTGCAAACACCACTTGCCCTGCCTAAACACAAGGACAGGTGCTGCTGAGTCTTGGTTGATAGAGCCAGATCTACTATTTTAAGAGTCTCTGAATTCAAGATTTTTATGGGAAAGCTCTGAATGTTTAAGCTTAATTGTACAAATTCTCATTTTCACATCACTGTGAAGGGAAAAAAAAAAAAAATCCACGGAGGCAAATGGGCTTAAATACATTAGCTAGATCTGAGTATTCCTTTGTTCCCCATGGCTATAGGAAAGATGGAGAATCTATCCAATCTCAGGGATCTGCATGAGAAAAAGCCCTTCAAGAAGATATTATGGTTCATGCCTGAGTAATTGTGCCTCTGTCCCCAAACCTGACCAGCATACTTGGCTTACAGTAATATTGGTTTGCTAGTTTTTAAAATAATACCTGACATTAAGGAAGCCATAGGCACTTATCCTCTCTGCCCATCCCCCATTCCACACCACTCTCCACACCAATACTAAAACTCCCACCCAAACCCATCATGTCAGGCACTGGGTTTATCAGAGCTGGAGAGTTTTCCATCCAATTATAGAACAGGATATAAACCTGGACAGCTTTGGGGGAAAGTGGATCCCAGACGTCTGGAGAGGGACATGAGGAGGGGTAGTGCTCTGCCAGTAGCTGGAGGGCACTGCATCTCCCCTGGAGTCTGTCCGGGTATCATGAATCAGTCCAATTTTCTGCTCAGAAAAGGCCTTGCAATCAATCTGCTCTCAGCCTCATGTTCTGAAAAAACAGACCAAGTCAAAACTTTCCTACAGGGTACACTACAAGAAGGGGCATCTCTAGAGATGAAATGGCCCATGGAACCCAATAGGCTCACAATGCTGTGTGAGGACGTGTGGAGATGCAGGCCTGAAATGAGGAACCCAATTACTTCTTTTTATAAAGATGCATGAAACCCCACGCAAGATTGAGGCTCCTGTGTCAGAGGCCCGACCTCCATGGCTAACGCAAGAAACACATAAGCTGGGCTGGGGATGTAGCTCAGTGGTCTCACCGCCTGCTGCGCAAGCGCAGGGACCCAAGTTCGATCCCCGGTACCACACACACACAAAAAAGAAACACATAAGCTCTGTGACTGCTGAGTTGGCACCAAAGCACAAAGCAGAAGAAGGGCCTAAGTTCATGCAAGAAAAGGCAGGAGAAAAGTCTGATGTGCCACGGCTTCTCCTCCTGGTTTGGCTCTGTTTTTCGCTGAGTAACATGGAGCACACCCCAGAAGATGACACTCTGTGCTCTTTTTTTTGGTACTGGGGATCGAACTCGGGACCCTGCACTTTCGAGGCAGGCTGCAGAACCACTGTGCTAAATCTCTGGCCCACTCTGTACTCTGACAAGTGGAGCAGCTCCATTTCTCTGGGTTCAAATTCTAAGCAAAAGGAATTCCCAAACCCAGGTGTCACTTGCCCTATGGGGCTACACTACTATGAGTATGCAGTATAGCTTCTTGGTCCAAGAGAATAAGTAAAACCAGAAGAAGGGCAGAAGAAACCATGGGAGGTAGGGCAGTGGCTTTGCACAGGCTGGACCTTTGGGAAGTGTATATTGTTTTTTTTTTGGTACTGGGGATTGAACTCGGGTCCTTCCGCTTGTGAGGCAGGCGGTGGAACCACTGAGTTAAATCCCCGGCCCTGTGAGGGTTCTTTTGCAGTACTGAGGATTGAACTCAGGACCTTGTGCTTGCCAGGCAGGTGCAGTGCCACTGAGCTACAGCCCCGGCCCCCAGGCTGGACCTTTGGGGAGGTAAAGGAGAGATCACAATCACAAGGTGAGTGACATCAGATGTCAAGATCTGCACACTTAATTCCCCTGAGGGGGAAGCACAGCACCACTGCTGCTGATGCCCTTAACCTGGCAATGAATGTGCTGTGGGAACCTCTGGCACCAGCTGGGGAAGGGAGCCTAGGAGTATGACGAGATCACTCCAAAGGTGGGTAGGGCAGGGGGCAGGGAAGCAGGCACCTCAAAAAGCCAACAATGTTACATAGTCATAACCTGTGTATAGAACAAAGGAGACAAAGAGAAGAGGGATGCATCTGCAAGGCGAGGCAGAGTACAGTAGTGGATCCGCTCCTGTGATACTAAGAGGTGGATGAGAAAGGAAAAAGAAAGGGGAGAAGGGGAGAGGCAGAAATAAGCAGGCAACTCTGACCCCTCAGAGTAAGATGCGGCAAGCACAACAGGGCCATAGCACTGTTGCCCAAGTCGGACGTTAGCA